AGAGAAAAAGAGAGAGAGAATAAGAGAGAGAGAATAAGAGAGAGGATAAGAGAGAGAGAGGATAAGAGAGAGAGAGGATAAGAGAGAGAGAGAATAAGAGACGGAGAGATTAAGACACCGAGAGAATAAGAGAGGGAATAAGAGAGAGAATAAGAGAGAGAGAAAGAGAGAGAGAAAGAGAGAAAGAAAGAGAAAGAGAAAGAGAGAGAATAAGAGAGAGAGAAAGAGAGAGAGAAAGAGAGAAAGAGAGAGAGAGAGAGAGAGAGAGAGAGAGAGAGAGAGAGAGAGAGAGAGAGAGAGAGAGAGATAATAACGATATAATAATACTTAATGATAATAAAGTAGCAATGACGATAATACAATAAAAAAGTAATAACCTGAAAAGTCAATAACAGCAACATCATCGCCAATGACACACATTGAGCTCAGTATCAAAGCTGCCACGGATGTCACCTCCCCCTCCCCCTTTCCCCCCGGCAGTTCGACTCCTGGTGCGCCGAGGACGAGGACGGCGAGTGCCTGGAGCGCCAGGACCCGAGCGGCACCGCCTCCTCCGCCGCCTTCGTCGCCGGCGAGGGCGAGGTGGAGGACAAGGACGCCACGACGCAGGTGGTGCTGGGCAAGTGGCCGCTCATCTACGTGATCCTCATCGTCATGCTCTTCTGGATCATCCTGGTCATCGCCACGCCCTACGTGCTCACGGGCGAGACCTACGGCCGCAGGGAGGACGACTTCAGTCCCAACTCCGTCGTCGACCAGCAGGTCAGGGTGGCTGCCATGGTGTACTAACGTATATAGATAGATAGATAGATAGATAGATAGATAGATAGATAGATAGATAGATAGATAGATAGATAGATAGATAGATAGATAGATGGATAGATAGATAGATATAGATAAACAGATAGATAGATATAGATATACAGATAAATAAAGAGATATATAGACAGATAGATAGACATACAGACAGATAAACAGATAAACAAAGACGAATCGATGCCATCGGAGGGTAGCAACAGCCCGCGAGGACCAAGCATATCTCACAGAGGGGTTCACTGGCAAGCACGCCCGTAAGCTCGTCACTTGTCAAACTGGTCAGAGGAAATGGCACCACGAATAAAACCCTTTTTTATTTCCAAACTTGTAACTGGTTTAAATATTTTCATTTTCAGAATCGCGTTTTTGAATCCTGTCGTTTGTAGGTTGTATGAGATTCGAGATTACATTGAAAGTCATAAAAAAAATGGCTATGCGTTCGCTGGGAAATAAAAATGATGGAAAATCTTCAAAAACATAAAGGTGTTATGAAGAAAAATATTAAAAGAATACGTGATTTGTCAAAGAAAAATGAAACTAATGTCGTTTTTAAAATTATTGGCTTAGAATGAGTTAAATTTGAAAAAGAACAACGATTTTTAGGCTTATAAAGCTATTACTTTTTTGAAGTTCAATAATGACTTCATCTAAAATGTCCTAACATCGAAAATTGTTATCATCATCATTATCATTATTATCATTCTTCTTCTTCTTTTTATTATTATTAATATTACTGTCATTATTATTATTATTATTATTATTATTATTATTATTATTATTACTATCATTATTATTATTATTATTATTATTATTATTATTATTATTATTATTATTATTATTATCAATGTCATTATTATTATTATTATCACTATTATTATCATTATTATTATTATCATTATTATCATTATTATTATTATCATTATTATTATTATCATTATTATCATTATTATCATTAATATTATCATTATTATTATTATTATTATTATTATCATTATTATTATTATCATTATTATTATTATTATTATTATTATCCTTATTATTATTATCATAGTTATCATTATTATTATCATCATCATTATCTTCATTATCATACGTACACACATAAACCTTGAACTCATGCCTTCCCTCAGGACGTTCTGCTTCTGCTGTCGTGGCTCTTAGGGGAGGCGAGCGACGACCCCTCTTGCCTGGAGAGGGTCGTCTGCCTCACGCCGTCCAAGTCGTCTAGGTACATCTACGTGTCGTCCATGATCTTCAAGGTGCTCAACTTCTTCCAGAGGTCAGTTGGGATTCTACTGTTGTTGTTGGTGTTGGTGTTTTTGCTTTTATAGATTAACAAAGGAAAAATAAAAATTGTTGTTGGTATTATTGTTTTAGGTTGTTGTTAGTTATTCTTGGTATGTTTTTTTTTCTTGTTTTTATTATTATCATTGTTGTTGTTGTTATTATTATTATCATAATAATAATAATGATAGTAATAATAATGATTATCATGATATGATTACTTTTATTATTATTATCATTAATAATGTTATTATAATCATTGTTATCATTATTATTAGAAGTAGTAGTAGTAACTGTAGTAATAATAGCAGTTTCATAGTCATTATGGTTATTAATATTATTATTGTTAATGTTTGTCATTTGCATTTACTAAGCAGTTGCAGATGGTGTGATTAGATTTTTTCACAGAAGCAGTCAGGTTTTGTTCATTTTTAATATAGAGAGAAGTGATAGACTATAAATAACATTTAAATCTTTGTAACGACATATTGAAGTCGCAGTCAGTGTCATATTTACCTTCCTTGACGAGAGCAAGTGACTAAAAGAGTAAAAGTATGAATGTAGGCGACCGAGAGAAATAGACTGAGAGTAGGAGACTGAAGGCAGGTGTCCGAAAGCAGGAGACCGAGAGAAGGAGACTGAGAGAAAGAGACTGAAAGCAGGGGGTTGAAAGCAGGAAACCGAGAGAAGGAGACTGAAAGTAGGAATTTGAAGGCAGGAGTTTGAAAGCAGGAGACCGAGAGAAGGAGATTGAGAGGAGACTGAAGGCAGGAGTTTGAAAGCAGGAGACCGAGAGAAGGAGACTGAGAGGAGACTGAAGGCAGGAGTTTGAAAGCAGGAGACTAAGAGTAGGAGACTTTAATTAAGAACTTAAAGGCAGGAGGCTGAGAGTAAAAGACTGAGAGTACGAGATAGAGAGCTACTGAATGACTGTCGGCGCCTGAAAGTAGGAAACTAAAAATAGGAGCCAGAGCAAGATTAATAGGAGTCTGGAATGAGGAGACTGAGAGCAGGCGACTGAAAAGTACGAGTGTGAAAGCAGGATACTGAGAATAGGACTTTGAAAGTAGGAGACACTAGAAGTCCAAAAAATAGGAGACTGAGTAGACTGAGTATGAAAGGAGACGGCAGAATAGTAGTCTAAAAGTAGTAGTCTAGAAACTGGAAGCTGAAAGTAGTAATGTGGAAGTAAGAGACTAAAAACAGGAGTTCGAGAGCGGGATTCTGAAGGCAGGAGACAGAGAAGGAGAGTAGGAGTAGTAGACTGAAAGTAGGAAACAGAAAACGGGTGAGAAGTTGCAGGCTGTGGCAACTCGGGGCGACTCGCAGTCACGGCAGGCAGCGACCATGTGTTCTTTGCATCCGATATTGTGCAGGCTTATTTTTGTACCGTGTGCATAGGTCGTCGTAAGGGCAGAATCGCATTGTGCCTGTAAGAAGATTTAGAATGACCTGTATCACGACTGTCATCTTTTTAAAATCTGAAGGTTTTCATTCCTTGTTATTCCCTTCTGATACCATACCGTTGGTGTTATGGCTACCAAAATTTAAGCTAACGCCCTCGTTAACAGAACGCTATAAAAGAGTATGATTCCTTATCTTCACTTCGCATTTCGTCCGCCAGATGGCTTCCGTACAGCCGCCGAGTCGAGGACCTGCTGCTCCGGCTGGACGACGTCGCTCGTGACGGCTTCTCACAGGACTGCCAACAGTACTACTGCCCGACTGTCCCCGAGCTGTGAGGACCCCTCAGCCGCTTCCCCCCCCCCCCTACCTGATGAGCTACCTGAGAGACCTGCCGGGGACCTGCTGGCGTGGATGCGAGACGATGCGTGCAGACGACCTTACGTTACGCTCGCTTTGCACACACGGAAAAAAAATATAGACATGAAAAAGATTTTTTAATGCACTCAAGGAATGGAGGAGCACATACTCTATAGTTCAAGGCCTAAGTGATTGGTATTTAGACCTTGATAGACCTATGGTTCTGCGCAGACACTTTGATCTATGTGAAACTCACAGGGACCCAGCAGGGTGTCAGCGATTAGCTTCACTCTTTTGAGTTTTAGACAAAACAGAGAAGGGGAGAACAAGAAAACACGGGTATATCGATTCGTGCATTTTCCTGTTGTTCCTGGGTCATTTTGTTATAGTTTTGTTATGTTATGTTCAGCATATATCGTTCACTAAAGAGTATATATTTTATGTGGCTCTAGGAGAAAAAAACGGAAGGTATGTCAACATCTGCCTCAATTATCTTTTGTTCTTTGCAAATCTTAGTTCTTTTCTGCAAATTGTTTCCGGGCGAGTTTGTCATATATGCTAATTGGAATCGATTTTGACTCTAAAAATGAGAGATGCAAATATCTAAAAGTTTAAGAAACATGTTTAAGCACACGAGAGATATAAATTTTTTTTTCGAGCCTAACAAGTATCACTATTTATCTATGAAATTCCTTGCTAGACGATACACAACCTACGTGGTGGATCTTATACCGGTAAACTGAAACAAACAAACAAAAGATGCTTAGACATTTGTACCGTCCAGTTGAGGGGATTCACATATTCAGTTCACAGTATTAACTTTGTGCCAACCTACTGGGGTTAAAGAGGGCATTGGTATAGTCTTTGCTGTTGTTACATGTTTGGTGGAAATATTTATTTTGCATGTATTTATAGATATGTACATTATTTTTATGTTACCTCACTCTTTCTGTACCATATTTGTTCAATAATTTATACACACAGAATGAAAGATATTAAACCTATGTTACGAAAAAATATCTTGTTATTTTACCTCTTCGTACAGATTTAAAACAGTATAATACAATATGAATATCACGTTTCTTGTATAACCATACACAGGAAGCAATTTTTTTTTTCTGTTAATACAGGATTCCTCGAAACATTTTCAACGTTTTTCCCTTCGTGGAGTTTCATACTTTTATCAAACTAAGGTAAAGTAAACGGCAGGGAAACACGAAAAGTAATTGTTAATTTCTTGTCATAATTTCGATTTTTCTTCTTTAAACGAAAAAAAATATGTGAAGTGTGTTACTGTTTTGCGTGGTATTTTTTCTTTTTTTTATAGATACTGACACACACTCACTCAAACACTCATACATACACTCAACACGCCCGCACAACCACACACACACACACACACACACACACACACACACACACACATACACACACACACACACAACACACACACACACACACACACAGAAAGAGAGAGAGAGAGCGAGAGAGAGGAGAGAGGAGAGAGAGAGAGGAGAGAGAGAGAGAGGAGAGAGAGAGAGAGGGGGGGGGGGGGGGGGGAGGAGTAGAGTGGTGTATGTAAACGGCAGGGAGCACGAACCACACACACACACGCGCACACAGAAAGGAGAGAGAGAGAGAGAGAGAGGAGAGAGAGAGAGAGAGAGAGGAGAGAGAGAGAGAGAGAGAGAGAGAGAGAGAGAGAGAGAGAGAGAGAGAGAGGTTTTGAAGGAAGGAGGGGGGGTGGGGTTTGCACATGTACCCTATTCTTATGGAATGAAAGACAAGTCTACTAATTTACTAATCGCTCTATGAATACTTATCATGGACTTGTATCTGTAGCAAACTGCCAATTTGAACTTTTGTTGAGCATCCTCAGTCGAAACTTATTGCTTTATGAAAAGGAAAGGAACAAATAAACATCGAATTGGTCTCCTTATGAAGCTATGATTTAGAAACAATAATGCATAGCTCTCTCTCTCTCTCTCTCTCTCTCTCTCTCTCTCTCTCTCTCTCTCTCTCTCTCTCTCTCTCTCTCTCTCTCTCTCTCTCTCTCTCTCTCTCTCTCTCTCCCCTCTCTCTCTCTGTGTGCATATATATATATATATATATATATATATATATATATATATATATGTATATATATATATATATATATATATATATATATATATATGTAGATATAGATATATATATAGATGTGCATATATATAGATGTATATATATATACATATATATATATATATATATATATATATATATATATATATATATATATATATATATATATATATATATATATATATATATATATATGCACACACATGCATACTCTGTATGTGTAAACTCGCATTAACATATAGGAGGAGGGAGCACATCTCTGGGATAAACACCTTTCAAATTCTCTGTATTTTATTGAAATAGTATTTAAGACATAAGTAGAGAATTTTGGAATAAGCTATATAACTTATAACTATAGAGTACATACAAGAATAGCATACATGTTCGCGTCAATACAAATGTGTTTTGTTTATACATGTATACATACAGTATGTATTGTATACATTCGCGCACGCACACACACATACACACACACACACGCACACACAAACACTTACACACACACACACAAAAGCGTATCTATACAGATGCATACAAACACCACATGTATGTATGCATGTATGTATTAAATGTATTATTTATGTATTAAAGCATATACACGAATGAACAAAATGTTAAACAAGAGTGAACACATATACTTATTGTCATTTCCAAGAACTCATAAATAAACATTGTGCATTCTTTAGTTTCCAGTCCTTTTGCACCATTTGATTAATTTCCAATCGAATTCGTTGAAACCATGTCTGTGGGATTCCTGTTTTTCTCGCCGGTTGAACCGTGGCTTCGGGCGACGCATCACCTGCTCCGCCAGCGCCAGTCTAAAACAGGTACTTTTGTCACGAAATCGGCAACTGACTGAACGACCGAGTAGCTGCTCTGCTCCATCCTCGTGCGGCGGTTGGAGCGTTGTTCATCCGGGGTTGCATGACGTCGGTGGCCTCAGGTGCGGGCTCTTCTGATTGCCGGGGCATGTCGCCTCCTGGCGGAGAGGCAGAGGGGGGAGGAGCGGCTCAGGGGCAGGGCGAGGTAGAGGGGCGGGGTGCGTGATGACCGGGGGCGGGGGGAGGCGTGGCCCGGAGGCGTGGCGGCGTTTTCCCTTGCGCGCGTAGCGGTTCAGGACGTCCCTGACGCATGCGCGGAAGTTGTGCGACATGAAGGAGTAGACGATGGGGTTGAGCGCCGAGTTGAGGTACATGAGGACGTTGGAGAGGGGCGTGAAGATGAGCGCGGCGTCCGTGGTGGGGTTGTAGCGCGGGTGGTAGTACGTGAGCATCTTCCGGAGGTGGAAGGGCAGGTTGCAGAGCGCGAAGCACATCACGACGGCCACCAGCAGCTTCACCACCTTCCTCCACGTGCGGATGAGGCGCTCCGAGTGGTAGGGCCCGATGGGCATGTCGCTGTTGCCGCTGGTGGGCCTCCACTGCCGCCACCTGCCTGCCGAGTACCTGCCGTGCGAGGAACTCGACCCCGCGCCGCTGTGGTGTACGGACAGGACGTGGTTGTCCCGCTCCTCCT